GATGGCATGGTGAAGATACTTAGTCAAAAATCAACAGACAGGATGTTGGGTGCTCACATTTTAGGCGCAGTAAGTATTGTAAATTGTGCTGCTGTCTTGGCCTTGTAAGGGTCTTTTACTGTTGCACAGTTGCAAAGTAGTTGTCAAGTTAGGAGAAGTGGTGCTTATAAAAAGAAGGAAGATTTGAGTCTATCATAGTAATTTTTATTTATTGCTCTCTTCTGCAGCCCTGCCCTCCTTCCGACTGTTCTGTTACTTTGGTGTAAGGCCCAGCATTTTTTTTTTTCCTTAGAATTGCTAGGGTTAATTGGTTTTTCTGACTAGGTTTTTTTTTTTCTTAAGAATACTGCCAAGTACTCGAGAGAACAGCAGAAATTGTTGACTCAAGTTCTGGAAGTTGAGGGAGCTGAACAGACTGTGGCTTTTTCATTCGTGTTTTCTTTTTTTCCCCCGCTCTGAACTTCAGACTCCAGCAAAGCTAGTAACCTCATGCTGCAGTCATCAAATCTGGGGTCAGTAACTTACAGAACTTTGATTAAAAATCCTTTGTAAAGGTGAGAAATCAGAAAATTCCATTTGGGAAAAGTATAGTTTTCCGCTGTCCCGCACATTCCAAAGTTAGACCCTTCTCTCTCTCTTTTGTTTCTTAGCTTTAAATAATCTTTTTTTTTTTCGTAAAGATGTATGCAGAAACACTTCTGTGCATCTTTGTATACAGCTTTCTTCAAGAGAAACACTAAAACTGCTCTCCATTTTCCTGGAAAGGAAACTTTATTCCTGTGAATGGATATACTGTCAATACCCTTTGTAAAGGTGAGAAATCAGAAAATTCCATTTGGGAAAAGTATAGTTTTCCGCTGTCCCGCACATTCCAAAGTTAGACCCTTCTCTCTCTTTTTTTTTTCTTAGCTTAAATAATCTTTTTTTTTTTCGTAAAGATGTATGCAGAAACACTTCTGTGCATCTTTGTATACAGCTTTCTTCAAGAGAAACACTAAAACTGCTCTCCATTTTCCTGGAAAGGAAACTTTATTCCTGTGAATGGATATACTGTCAATACTAGTGGATAGGCTTTTTGTTTCTGAATCCAATTCTCATCACTTCTGATAGGAATACATAATAAGGCGTTATGCTAGTTATTTTCTCTCACAATGCCAGTCATTTAAAAAACAACATGCCTTAAAGGAAGCACAACTTAGGCTTCTCAGTGTGAGACAGACTAATTTTCTTCATTGGGAAGGGGCTGGTGGAAAATGTTATGATTGTGGATCTGAATGCTAAAAATGTAACAGGAGATTTCACTATTTTTGGCTCTTCAAAGCAGTGTCTCTGAGTAAATACACGTAAATACAACAAATAAAAATGAGGGTGCAGATGTGGTAACAGGCTTTTGTTTATCTAGTTATCATCTATTAACTTTCCAGGAGGGCATTGAAGTTTTGGGGAGGTTTCAGCAGTGATAATGTACACTGTAGCTTTGAGAATGTGGGTATTATCTGACCAGTATCTCGTAGTGGAAAAATGCCCAGATTTTGCACCACTCTCAGTAATGAGAGAACAAATACTCTCATTAAGAACTATGTTTAGATTTACGCTAGGCTTGAGCACTGTCACCAAACAGATTAAGTACTTATGACTTATATTAGAACATAGCTGAAGCGGTAGTTACAATACAACTTTTCTTTTTTAGCAAAAGATGCTTATTTACAAGCTGTTAGTGATTCAGGAGAACCTGAACAACTGCATGAAGACTTGTGCTAATTACAAATACCATTAAATTACAGGGTGCTGGTGAAATGGTTAACGAAGCTGCCCTTGCTATGGAATATGGAGCATCATGTGAAGATGTAGCCAGAGTTTGCCATGCCCATCCAGTAAGTTTTTTCTAAACGGACTGTGGAATACCAGGGTTCCACAGACATGCTCTAATTGCATGTAACTATTAACGACTTGTACCTTTTTGTGTTTGCTCTCTACAGACAGTGTCAGAAGCCTTCAGGGAAGCAAACCTAGCAGCATCTTTTGGCAAAGCTATCAACTTCTAAAATGAAAGAGCAGATCTTTGTACGTGTATAGTACCTCTCTGAAAATGGACTGTGGGCCCTTATGGAAGGCTGCGTCTGAGGATTTTAGGACTGAATTAAGTGAATCTCTTCATTTTAAAACATCAAATATTTAAGCAAGTAGAGTTTGGAACAAGTGGAATTATCCAGTTTCTGTAAATTAAATACTTAAAATTACATGTTTATTTACATGATGAATGTTGCAGAAAAACAGCCTGACAGAAATCTTCTTTTTCAAAACCAAACATTTCGCTGCTGCATGGGATTATTAGGTGTGCTGGTCAAAACTCTGAATAAGTGTCCAGCATACCTGGTGTTTTCTTATTTGAAGTAGTGATAGACTAAACCAGTTGAATGCTGGCATTTATAATGCCGCTGGCACTTAAAATGCCACTGTCACTTCCGCACAAAAAAGTGTTTCCTTCTGAAAGGATTAACTTTAGTATTTAACCTACTTCTTACATACAAGTACCAATCCTTCTTTTGACCTGGTAGTGTTAGGATGTTGGGAGAAGAGGGGCTCGTATAGATTGATTAAAACTATATTGACTTTTTGAAGAGAAAATTACTCTGTGTGCGTGTGATTCTCCACACATCATGTTTTCATATTGAAAACTCATCGGGGCAAAAATCGAGGGCTGATGGAGAAATGAAAGACTGAAGAAAAATTAATCTTACTGCTACTTAATCTTTTTTTGGCTTTAAAGCTTCTGTTGTCCAACTCTCTTAAACTTGAAACGCTAAAACTGGGTAGCGAAGCAGCGCTTGCTATTAAGTGCTTATGACATGAGGGTTATTCTGCACCTTCCATACACAAGGGCTGCAGTGTCGGCTCTTCACACAATTAAGACACACTTTCTTCTGTTCTGTTTTCTATTTTGTGCTCTCTTTCTGTCTCTTCTGTAGCAAGAGAGCTTAATAAATATTTAACGTGGCTGGAGGGTCCTCTTGGGTTTTGTTTGCCGATTGGCCCTGTTACTCCTTTTAGCATCTCGATTGTCGAATACATGAAGAAACTCACAAACAAATGGCATCTTTGAAATATCCCCAGTGTGTATAGGGAGTGTGCCCGATTGCAGTAGCTCATTTTAAGTTTTCTTTTTTTGCTAGGCTGTTCTGCCTTGAAGAAAACCTTAGTATCTGCTGGTATTGTGCATGTCCTTTTTCATTATGCCAATGGCATGATAGGTGAGAAACGTGCATTCAGAAAATGGTGCAAAAGCTACTTGTTTTTGTGTGTGGACAAGGCGGTTGTATCCTCCTGCCTTTCTTTAGAGCTTCTTCTTAAGTATTGATCCAGTATCCACACCGAGTGATGGAAATATATGCCAACGTTACCATTTTATTAAGGTCTCAGTTAATCAACAAACACCAGTGATACTGTTCTTCGTTTTGGTTGGTTTGGTTTTTTAACTCCTGTTTTAAGTGTAGATGGGGTTAAACCATGACAGCTCATTAAAGTTATCACCAGGCTATGAGATGACCCAGCATATCTGTGAATTAGGGTAAGTGAATTAATGTGGATCTGCTTTTGGTATTTCGGAAGTTGCTGAAGGAAAAGCAAAGGTGAGACAATAGTGAGGGAAGAAAAACTCGATTCTTCCAATAGATCTAGGCATTTCAGAATCATTTCTACCTGCTGCAGGTAAATGCTATTAAGTGTTAGCCTGGTGCTTCGCAAGTTCTTCCTAGAAGCCCCGCTCTTTCAGAAACAGCTTTGTGTCCGCTCCCCCCCACCTCCCTCAATACTTGTGGCAGTCTTACTGCAGTTTGGCCTTGAGGTTCATCAGTTACAAATTCTCATATCTCATTTTGTTCATGTTAAATGAAGTTTGGAAAGTCAGGGAAACTTTAATCAAGATTACTACTAAAGTTATACTGGAGACTATAGTGTCCCAGACGCTGAAAAATAAAATTCAAGGCCTTAAGATTCTTACCGTATTGTTACTTCTCTGGCTGCCATTCCTCTTCTAGTCAAGTGTACAAAGAGTGTTTGTAAAGGTAAAAGTGAGATGAGCTACTGAGCCACCTGTCAGTGGCCTGATGGCAGGTAAGTCTGCATGTTGCAAAGTTCGCAGACTGTATTATTAACAGCTGTGAAGTATCCTGGCAGTGAAATGGTGTATGATGCTGGTATGGTAATCGGTTCCTGTGATGGACTTTTTTTTTTGCTCTAGCATTTGTAACCTATGGAGCTTAAGGCTAAGTATGTATTTAAACATACTGCTCTTCAGTTTGCTTAGGTGGTGGTATATTCTGCCATAGTTGTCCTGACTGACTTTCACTGACGTTAGTCAAGGTGCTCATCAAAGTATATACGCAGATGTATTCCTCAGGTCAGAGTTAGCAGTCGGGATGTGTAAATGGATGTTGCAGTTTCAGATGCTCATTTGTGTTGCTGATGAATGTTGTAGATCAATTTGTGCAGTACCGTACAACTGCCTGAAGGTGCACTGTTCTACATAACTTTGAGCTAAAGTATGGTGAACAGGATGTTACTCTTGCGCTTTGAAAAAAGTCTTATTTGTGTCTTCTTAAGTGCAAGCTGTTCTTAGAGAGCAATGTCTGTGTACAGACACTGTATACAATGTGCATCAGTTGACACGAAGTGCCCTGTGAACTTTTGTAACTCCTTTTCCAGAGACGCTTGATCCTCCAAGCTTGGTTTATCATGTAAATTCGGTGCTTGAAATCTAAACCACACTCACCCCTTCGGTGCTGACCTGTTTCCACTTCACATGTCAGGTGTTCCATAATCAGTGACGTGAAACTAGCATTAACCCTAAATGGATATCATGCAGAGGGTAAATAGTCCTTTTTGAGTACTGTGGTGTAAATGCTAGCTAACCACACGAGGACGGTATTTCTTCATTCACTTGTAATTTTGTCCTGAATGACCATCCTGTATTTCATAGTAATTGGAGCCCTTATTTAGAATTACGTAGCTGGAGCCAAGATTTTATTAGATCTCTAACCAATTTAAAAACAAGACTTGCTAAAGGATTAACTGATTTACTATTTCAGTTACTGAAAAGAGGAGGGAACTTAATGAGCCATGCTAGGTACATACAGTGATACAAAAGTACTGTTTATTTTCAACATCAAAAAGTTACTTGTCTTTGGTTCTGTGACTTGAAAGTCAATATAAAACCTGTTCGCTTTATCAGGTCTTAGTGTAATGTCAAAAAGAACTAGTGTAATACTTGTAAAATCCATCCTGAACACAAGCATTTCCTGCTGCCATTTATAAGCAAGTGCTATAAACAGCAACCTTCTGGCTGATTGTCTGTAGGAGGGAGCGAACTGTCTCTTCCAGCTCCACCAACTGCTTGGCTTTATCTTCCAGAACCTTTTGATTGTTTTCATATGTGTTTTCCAAGTCTGTCAGCAAAGGAAGGGGAAAAACAGCTTAATTAGGAGTGGTTTAATGCAGTAAATGTAAATCATTATCGTTATGGATAAACTACTACTCAAATTTATTTTTATTGCGGAAGAGAATCTGATTAGGAAGAAAAGCCAGCTGGAACGGCACCTTTTTGTTCCCATAACACTGGGACATAAAGCAACAAGGAAGTAATTTTCCGTAAGTGGAAATCTAGAAGTATATTTTGATTCATGTTGAGAATAATTGTTAGTCTCTGCTGCGTGGTGGCTTTCACAGAACAGTGAAATGTTTTGGCTTGTTATGGTTAAGACTGTTCAGTGAGTCCTTAACTGTGCAGGAGCAGCTGAGGGGAAGAATGAGTTCCTGGCCTGGCAAAAACAGAAGGAAAACTTAGCTCCCCCCCTGGCAGTTATGGGCAAATTGCCCCCTCCTGTTTCAACCACCTTTAATTGGCAATGGGAAATGTTAAATTAATCTGCCAACGGGAAGTGACGTATCCCGATTACCTTTTGTTTTAATAGCTTTCCGGGGTGGGCTGGGGGCAGTACTGTTTGAAGATGGGGGTCTTGCTTGAACGGGTTAGTCCTGGTCCTAAGCATGGTTGCTGTGTTCCCTCCCTGTAGCGGTTCTTGGAGCAGTGATGGGTGCCGTACCAGAAGTTTGTGTCTCACTGTAAGTTTCAGCTTTTTTATAGAAATCTTTGATTCAAAAGACTACGTTGTGTCCATAAGAATAAGGAAAGCAGATCAAACCTCGGTAACAAAGAATTAACTTCCATTTTTTCTCTACTGCTGCTGAATAGTCAGTTTAACAGCATGACATTGCTTCATATTCTAGAATGACGACTTACCTCCTCAGATCAGCCTTACCTTTGAGCAGCTGGAGCTTGCTGTTCGCTTGAGCCAGCAAGGCTTTAGCTTCATCTTGCAACATGCCAGCCTTCCTCCTCGCATCAGCCGACTCCTCTGTCTTCTTGGCAATGAGATCTTCCACTGTTTTATACTTGTCGTTCACCTCGGTATTGAGGACCTGTTGTTCCAGATTGAAGCACAAGATGGAGCTCATTCAAAAGACACCGCAGTGCGAGTTTGCGTTGCCTCCCTCTAGCTTTACTAAGCCGGGCGTAAGGAGAGACAGTAACTACACTGTTAGCTCAGTTAACAAAATCAGAAAGAGGGGTGAAGACTCATCAGTCGCCCTTTTGCAGATCTGTGGCTGTTTTGTGGCTTTAATACTGACACTTGGGAAGGATTTACAGGATTCGGTTACACAATTCTGTAACTAACGGAAGCCGCGGCCCTAGTGCAGCTGGAAAGCTGCATATGGTAAGGAACTGGCACTGCTTCTGGTTGAATGCTTGCATTTGGGGAGGAATACCCTTGTTACTCTTTCAGTAACGAGAACAGCTGCTGAGTTCGCATAGGTGAAGGTGTGGGAGAAGTCATGAGGTTGGCTTCTCAGCTGTGGTTTTCTCTGCGAGGTTAAGATTAAGAAGTCCTATGACCCACTCTAATTCAACCAAGCAGCAAGCTAACAAGCTGTAGCAGTATTGGAAGTCTCTTGTGTTTACTTGACAGCCACCTGAAATACTACTTGGTGTTCGGAAATAATTGATTTGATGGATAATACATCTCTCCTGGCAGAAAATGCCTCTCTGGTGACGGATGGGCTAACTATAGACAACAGATTGGAGCAATGAAACTCCCTTTGGCAGATTTGTCAATTGTTTTGTTAATGAGCATTCTTTTGCTATTACGAAGGTGTGTGGCAGACGCTGGGAGCAATGCCATATGGTCACAGAGCAAATCTTGCATCTCTAATATTTAGGAATGACTCTGGTTCTATATTGAGGTAACGATTTTTCTTGTTGCTTGATTCTGTGTATTCCAAATTCTGGGTTCTTTGTCCTGAACCTATCATTGTCATAGAACCATAAATACTCTATGGAAGGGGAAAATACCAGTTCTGCTGTGGCAGATAGTAAAGCTGAGGGACAGAAATGGATCTGTGAAAGGCTGTCAGTGTGACAGCACGGCAGGTTTCCTGCAGCTGTTTTAGAACCTGAAAACTTCCCAATATATTTCTTTCTCTCTGTACCTGGTACCAAAGTAAGTAAAAAGCAGTTATCTTTGGTAAGTTCATCGAATGCTTTTTTTTTTTGTCCCTGCTACTTGGCCAATAAATGAAATGGATCATATGTATTCATTCATGTTCCTTTAGCCAAACCTGGGGTGAGAGTGGTTTTTTGGCTTTCCCTTAGCATCTTTCGTGAGCTTCTCACCTTTTTAACTTCTTCAGCATTTTGTTTTGCAGTAACAATTTTTTCTTCTATATTGTCCACGTTCTCTGAATTTGTAGCAGCCTTTTGCTTAAGGTCTTCAACACTCTTCTCTAGCTCAGACAGACGTAAGGTAGCATTGCTCAGTGTTTCTTCAGATGCCGCATTTTCAGATTGAATCTAAGACAGAGGGACAACAGTTATATTTGCAAAAGACACTGAACATAATAGTAAGCTTTCTGGATAAGCCCTGATCAACTAATTAGTTCATGTCCTAGATCCGATATAAAACCCAGTGTTTAAGTTTTGTTACAAATGGCCAATTGCAATCAGGATGAAAGAGCCCACTGCTTGAAGACGGGGTACGTATGGGGCTGCAAAAGCACTAAGGAACATGGTTAAAAAAATACCTGATGGTATTACACACGCAAGAGTTGCCCAATCCACAGGCAAAACTGAAGTTTGACGTTGGACTCACTCATGTAATAATGGACTTGTGAAGCTGCGTATCTTCTAAGCTGGCCAAGCCTCGTGGGTATAGATAGCACTATGGTCTCACGAAGGCTATGAGATGAAGTCTGATAATACATTATCTGACAAGACTACAGCAATTACCACTTTAATCCAGCATTCGCTTATTTTAGTGTCATGCTGCAGTGGTGGACGACACTGGTAGCATGGCTACACCAATACACCGCCACGGTGGTTAAGAGGTGTGACTTTCCAGGGATCTTGGCACACTTGCTGTGTTAGAGGGCTACAATCCTGCTCAGTCAACTTCAGTGGTGCAGGATATGGGGGGAGAAAAGCCTTTTGTTTGTTTGTTTTTGTTTTTTTTTAAGAGCAAATGGTCCCCTAGCATCTGTCATACTAACTCAAAAGTTTATGTGAAGGCGAGAGTGGTTTAGATTCATTTTAAGTGCAGTCTTTGATTTGCAGTACCCAAGAGCCTTCCCTAGACAGGCTTACATCAGTTTCTAAGTATCAGACTTGGTGCTGTTTCTGTATCTTAAGAAATACTCGTCAAGAACTCACCGAGGTCAGCAGGTCTTGAGTTCCTTTAATATCTTCATCGGCTTGTCTGATGGCTTTTTCAGCTGCATTTTGAGCTTTTTCAGCTTCTTCCAGTGCTGCTTTCACCACGTCTGCAGTGACTTTAACATCTGTTGCACCTTTGCTGTGGAGCAAAACTATGTTAATGCTAAAAATGCTTTTACTTGGAACTGGAAGAAGAACAGGTCATACACTGTACAGGGCCATTTTCGCCCCTTAGTGAAGGAATGCAAATCTGCATTGGGGTAAGTTCAACTGCATTTTCTGATACAATGCAATGAAAGTCTTGCTCAAGCTCTTGGTGATGGAAAACAGCTAATACGGAACAGCGTTGCATACCTTGCTTTTTTAGCTTCCTCCAGTAGCATTTCTGCTCTGGCAATGTCTCCAGCGCTCTGCTGCAGAATGACCTCAACATCAGAAAGGCTTTCTATACGCTCACGAATATCTTCTGTCAGGGCTTGCAGCTGCTGGGGAGTGCTCGGCATCTCCATGTTCAGCACTTCATTAGCCACCGCCTCGATGCTGTCCAGGTCAGCGCTGTCTTCTAGTAGATGGACACAAAGGATAAAGATGTAAGTAAAAGCTTCCCCCCTGTCAAGTCTCAGTACTCAAATTCTGGTCCAGCTGCTCCCTTAAGAAGGAAAATCATGGGAAAACTTCCTCCCCCGGACTTAAGAGAAAATCAAGGTGTTGAAACTGCTTCCTCAGGGTGAAACTTCCCTCTCGGGAGAGGCCCAGCAGGCGCGTAGGCCCTGCTGGCATAGCTCTCTTGGAAGCCATTTGAAGATCTCGGTGATTAGCTACACCCCGCTGGGGCTGTGGGGGGTAGACGCGAGCCCAGGGGAAAGGAAGCCAACAGCTGCACGTAAATGTATTTGTGCTAACAGTATAGTCAGCCTTGTGCAAACAAGGAAGGAATGGGTTCGCCATGCTGCCGCTTGCTAGCGAACAAGGCCCTCATTTAACCTCTACCTGCTTGCTAACAGAGAGATAAACTCGGTTTCTGACTCTCCTCCCCTTTAATGGTACTTTGTCTTTCTAGCCAGAACTTGCGAGCACACTTGGCAAGCTACAGCAGTACAGCAGCCTCAGCTGAAATGAACACAGCATGCTACAGTTTGCTCTCACTTTCCTATTGTCTTGGTTTTCTCTTGGTTCCAGATTTCATCATACACGCTAAGTCTGGCTGAAAGCGGGGAGATGACACACAGCTATTGCATTACCCCTTAGAAGATGATTCAGAGCTAAAGATAGTTTTCACAAGCCCAGAATTAAAATATAATTCAAATGTAAGGTTTTTACGCATTAGGAAGTCTCTAATCTGTTTAATAAGACTTCTCAGATCTTCATTGCTTCTGTCCACTTGTTCTTTTGTAGCATTGGTTTTGAGCAAAACTTCTTGTGCGTTTTGTTTTGCTTCATCAGCTCTCTGTTTTGCCTCAGAAACCTAAAGTGGAAAATAGAAGGCTCGATTACATATTTGCTTATGCTTTAAGGCCTGGTTTAAAACAAAAATTCAGTTGGAGTCAGAGGTAATAGTAATGAGAAATGCTTTTTCTCATAAAACTCATTTTCAAACACTTTTAAAAGTTGGCCATGATCCATACCACCAGTGCTAGTTTAAACAACTCAGGCTAATGTTTAGAGTTATCCATGAAGTTTCACTTTGGCAAGTTCCTTTCCTGAGGATCTTTACAAGCATGATGAAGTTACACAACTGAAGAGAACTATTTTGAAGGAAGCCAGGCACATACTTTGTCAATTAGTGTCTAAACATGTGTTACAACTAAAAGATTTTTTTTTTTTAATATCTAACAATTGATTTGGCATATTACCATTCTGGAGAGTTGTTCAACTTCTGCTAATGCACTGAGGATGTCTCTGTCAAAATCCATGGCTTTCTGCCAGGCGTTGTGAGCTACGGTCACCAGCCCGTCACAGCCAGGTCCTCCACACTTCTTCTGTCCATCATCAGTTCGACAGTTTAAACCGCCGCACTCGGACTCAGCACAAGAGGCTCCTGCGGGAGTGCCACACGTCTGCAGAGACACATCGGACAAGGGAAGCAGCCACAGCTTTATTTCCATTGCTGAGCTGCGAGGGGGATGAGCAGGGCACTGCTCCGCGCTATGCTGTTGCTGCCCCTTGCAGCAGCATCCCAAGTACCCCCGGGAAGGAAGCTGAGGTAGAGCTGCAAGCTGGAGGTGGTTCCTGCAGCAGGTCCACACCAGCACGACTTGAATCGTTCTTCTGTGCCCCCTGCGCCTTCCTGCCTTTAACTTGGTTACAAATATGCAGCTCCCTGATGCTCAAGTAGCTGGAGGTTATGAGGGAAGCCTTGCCTCACTTCCATCATCCGCTTTTCCTGTACATCATCTCTCACTGGAAAGCTGCCTTTAAGCTTCGGTTTCAAGGTGGAAGCTACTACTGTCTGTATGCCTTTTGTTTGCAATCAGTCTTCACTACTGTTGGAGGAAAAACTGGCCATCCCCAGAAGCTATTTCATAAGGAACAAAGTGTTTGGTGCAGAGTAGTATCTTTTCCTTTGCTCTAATGCCCTAGAAATAGAATAGAAACTGAAATGCTCCAAGTTGAACAGCAAACTTTTTTTCATCTCCCTTAAAAAGCTGTCCCATTCCCTTCCACCAAATGTTTGCTCTGATTTCATCTTTCCAGAACACTTCCCAATGTGTGAATTCTGTCAAGGATGTGTTCCCATAGAAAATTTCAGGGTAGAGTTGTTTTGGTTTTTTTTTTGTTTTGTTTTTTTTAGAAAGCAAAACTATTTCAAATCGGCAACATTGTACTGAGACTTATCCACTACTTGGTCAATTGGCTGGACAATGAAATCACTTGGGAGTTGTTTCAGCCAGAGGGAAAATTGGAAAATTCCCCATTCTTGTAAGGTTCTTTTCCCTTTCCACCCCACCCCTTTTGCCAAATGATAGTCACTAACCGACATACTTTGCAGCCAAAAAAAACCTCTCTGGGAAAGCCTAGGAGCTGTGCCAAGCTAAGCTGCAGCTGCCTCCTGTGAAGTGTAAATGAGGCCCTCTTACCTGTTTGGCATGCAACCCAGCAGTAGCTAGAAAGCAAAAAGATTTTTCTTTTTTTTTTTTGGTGTCCCGTGATTACACCTCCAAGCAACTCAGTGTTTATGGGCTTGATAAACATCTACCCAAGATTTTCAGTCCTCAAGAACAGTTAGGCAGGAATGTAGGGGAAGGGAAGCTAAACAAAAAGATGTCTCTTTCTTCCCTCCTGAGAAAAAAGGAGGGCTGGGGGAGTCAGGAGGGATGACCGTAGTTATAAAGGAGGGGACAATTCGGCATGCGAAGAACTCGTCCTCTAACACAGGCCTGGCCTGCCCAGGGGAGTTAATGAGCAGTCCCCTGCAGTCCGCCTTCATGCGGGATTGTTCTCTGAATGCAGCTGGCCGACTTCAAAGCGAAACCAAGGGACACCCAGCCTCTCCCAAGAAAAAGCCACCCTCCATCATATTTACAGATGAGCAGGCAGCTTCAACAGAGAGAATGCCCTTTTGACTCCAGCTCCCTCTAAGTTCTGCGTTGCCTCAAGCACGAGGACGGGAGGGCGGCGATGCCGAGGCGGGCGGCCGGTCGGAGCGAGCAGCAGCGCTGCCTGGCTGGGCACTGCACAGGCACAGTGTGTGCCCTGCGGAGCTGCAGAAGGGAAGAGAGGAGCCTAGGGAAAGCAAGCACGTGAGGTGAGGGCAGGCTGGAGAGGATGGCTCTCAGGCCACCAGCCTCGCTACACTTTTCTGCACATGGGAGCTCTGTCCGCAGCAAAGGGCTTTGGGTTAGAGCCGGGGTGATGAAAAGATGGGTGCTTTGTCAGGGCTGGGAAGGGTAGGAGGGAGGCCACCATGAAAGGCTGCTGCCTGAAAGCCACTGATTAAACAGCCCTGTTCTAGCCCACAAAATACCCTGTCATCCAAGAAACATGCACTTCTCATGAACAAACCGTCTCTCATGCTGTCAAGCTCTAAACAGTTCCTCCCCACCAGTCGTCTCTTCACAAACCTGACTTTGTTTTTGCTACAGGTTTTATACCAGCGATTCTCAGCGGCGTACCTTCTCCGCCACTTCAGAGAGATCCAGGCTCTGCAGCTTGCCTGCGAGTTCATCCAGAAGGCGCGACTGCTCCTCTTGTTTAGCCTTGAACTGGGCCTCCTTCTCATTGATTAAGTCTTCCACTTCCTGCCGCGTCTGTGCCGACAGCTCCACGGCGCTATCGGGGTGAACAGTGGAGGCATTGACCCTCTCCTCTGCCTCCAGGGACATCTGGAAATACTTGGTGATGCTATCCAAGGCTCCTGCAGAAATCAGACAGAGCTGCTCAGATATCTGTTAAGTCATCCAAAGTAATTTATATTATGGAGGTTGGCAGACGACACATCAGGGTTAGCGATATGAATATCAAGTTAAATGAACCGCTAGCCTTTGCAGCTACATTCAGTGCCATTGCAAGGGTGACAGAATTTGGCCCGTTCTGGGGAAAAAAAAAAGAAAAAGTTCATTTTTTTTGCTTGGTTGACAGTGTGTCGTCAAGTTCGATGGATTTTGAAGTTAAGCCTTTCTCTGACCCTAGTGACTGAATTCTGCTTGCCCTGAGGGCAAAAGGAGATCCAGCCTTTTAGGTTTATAGGGCAACAGCCTGTTTTCTCCAGCTTCACTTATCCCATTAGTTCTTGTTGCTTGCCCTGGGATGTCTGGCTTATGGAGTCACTGCTTGGAAACTAGTCAGAGCTTTCCTAAGAAGCAACTGCTTGATGAAAGATGCTGATTTATGGAACTGTTAGTTTTGGACAACTGGAGAGGCCTTGAGTGAGTGTAGGGGACCCCATGGGGGTGGCCACACTGCACCTTGGGGCAGCTTTCCGCTGCAGAATGCCACAAGTCAGGGACTCCCCTGTTCTACATTCTACTTGCCTCACTCTGTGAAATCCCATATTCACTGGAAACAACCTCAGACTTCCTGCAAAGCAGGAAATAAAAAAAAAAAAAAAAAAAAAAAAAAATCCTTTGTTTCAAGTTGGAATGAAGTCAGCTTTCAAAACTTCCAAAGAATTTGGTGACTATTCCTCTTTCTCCAGCAAATTTTGATTCTTGGCCCATTTCAATGTGCCAATGGGCATGCAAGGCTTGGGTGGCTCGGAAGAACTGAGCCCTTACAGTGTGCTCTTAGTCACCAAGACCCAGTTAGTTTTTCCAACCAGAAACAGCAATTTAACAGACTGGGGAGAGCAAGGGAGATGTCCAGGTGTATCTTGGAATCTGCCGCACTTTCAGCTGTTGTGTCTCATCTAAAATGTACTAATCAAGAGCCTTTAAGACAACTCTGTGCCCCAAGAACTTGAGCTGGTTTTGCAATGTGCAGAGGGAAAGCGAGGGGGTGAGGGGGAAAAACAAAATCCCTGCTGCATCAGCAACTCTGCTAATGCACAGAAAGAGGCTGCCCTCCTAGGAACTGTGTTTTAACCTGGTATTTAAAACCATGCACTAATTAAATCTTTGGCCACCCCACTGCTTTCTCCCCCTCCCTGCGACACTTACCCCGAACATCAGAGATCTTGATGAACTCTAGCTGTTCTGCAAGTTCTTTCACGACACGGTCTAGGCTTTTGGCATCTATCTCCAGCGCGCTCAGGTCAGCGTCTGTGCTATTGCTCTTCGCTGCTAAGGCTGACAGGTTTTCTTCTACATCAGCGATCTTAACTGTAACATCTGCTGTCAGCTTTCTGTAAAACAGAGGCATGGGACTCAACAGGGGGAGGAGGAATGGTTGTAAGCCTTGGCGTTTCACTTCAGTGAAGAGTGGTGGTTAGAGCCATGCCGAGCTTTTCCCATGGCAGGACCTGTCCTCCCTCGGTGGAGCTGTAAGTGATTTGTAACAACATGCCTACCTAGAATACTGTTTTCTTTTCTTTATCATACAAAACTACTTTTTAATCTACAGCACATTTATAAACTCAAAGCACCAAATTGCTCAGAAAACAGCTGCTTTGTGTAAGATTAACTGGAGGCAGATTCCAGAGGACTGGTGTAATGCTCCTGTAGCATGGCAACTGCATAGGTCAGAGTTGACTACTATGATCCATACATAATTTGCTTCCCATCCCACACAGCTACAAATGCAGTTTTGATTACTACGAGCTCATGGGACAGATTTGAACTTCAGGAAGCAGGGGGGGAAGCCTTAGTTTTAACACAATGGATTCTTTTAACTCGTCTGTAAAGATCCCTCCTCACCAGTTTCTCTAGGGCTATGAAGGAAAACCTCCCGCCCTCAGCATTCAGCATGGCCTCAGTGAGCCACAGAGCAGGCTGTAGCTAGCGGGATAACCCTAAAAGGAAAGGCAAGTGTACGTTACACATCAACGCTGCTGCGGAACAGAAGTGGGCATAGGAAGCTATTCCCATCCATGGTGATCCCACCAGTCCCAGTGTTTCCTCACTCTGAAAGAATCAGGCAGTATTTAAGCTCTGTAATCAATTTACAGCTCTCTCAATAGCCCAACAGCCTGCTGTTTTCAAGGAGTCCTTCAAAGCCCAGTACTACTTCTATACAGCCAGAGAGGAGCAAGAAGAGATACATATATACATATGTTTGTTAGGGAAAAGCAGCTCCTCGGCGGCTCTGACCTCCCTCAGTACACACAGAGCCCAAATGTAGCAGCAACCCCCAGCTCTCCAGCTGGAGAGCTGGGGAGCTGCAGGGCACAAGCATATCCCTAATTGAGACATTTGTGCTTTAATCCTCACCCCTTTGCTTTGTGCAGTCCCCTTTGCAATGCACAAGCAAGCTTGAGCAGTTGTACACAGGGTTAGAAAGCATCTGTAATCCTACTTGATGTTAAACTGCCCCATCTCCAAAAGCACAAACTACCATCTTTTGTATACTTAGCCCTAAAACAAAATACAAGGCTCCTACCCTAAGAACAATGGAACCAATCCTTGTTATAAAGCTGGTGCTTCCCCCCCCAAACGCTCAGAGTGCAGAAAGGAGCCCGAGTTTCCAACTCATCGGCTACACAGGGAAATCCAGGAATTTAATCTCTCCCCTCTTAATTCTCTGACATAATAGCAGTGTTTGTCCTTTGCCCTGGGGGAGCACAAGGCAAGCCTGCGCAGCTTGGCGGTAATTAGCTGCCTGGTGTGCAATGGGACAACCCCTGCCCAGAGCATGGTAGCTCTGCTGCTCCTACCTTCCCTGGCCAGGCTTCCGCTTGTGGGATGGATCCTTGCTGCCGGCGCCGAGCATGGTGAGGTGCTCCGCCAGCGCTAGGAACCGCAGCCTACCTGGCCCAGCTGGAGGAGCGGAGCCAGGGCATTCTCAGCTCAGTGTGGGGGCATTGGTCACTCAAGTAAATCCCAGCTTGCTCGCACTCCCATTCCTTCCCACAGTAGACCTATCCATGTAACTGCGACTGTACTCACTCTGCTTCATCAAAGAGATTCTCAATGTTCTTCAGGGGCTCGGCAGCTGGATTTTGAGCGATGATGGTTTTAATTTCAATGAGCTTCTCCTCCAGGGTGTTGAGTGTCTGCTGGTATGGGCCAGTGACTCCAGTGATTTTGAGGGCATTAGCCCTATCCAGGAACTGTTGGGTCCTATTAGCCAGCTCGCTGATGATCACGTCCCAGAGGGCGAAGCACTGGTGGCACGGCACACAGTCGGGGAAGAAGCCCGAGTAGCCCCGGGAGCACTTGTCACAGCGTGGCCCTTCCACCCCTTCATTGCAGATGCACTGCCCGGTGGCACGGTCACATTGTGGGGTCTGGATGCCACGAGGGTTGCAATCACAAGCTGGAAGGATAAAAAGGCATGCGTGAAGGTTACGGTGAGGGAAATGACATTGACATTGGCAGGGAATTAAAAAAAAAATTCGACGAGTAGTAATGAAGTAGGGAAATGAGTATCGAAGTGATCTGTGTCTGGATTATAATCAGCTAATTATGGATGTGTCTGCTTGGGTATGGGGGAACCAGGACTGAATGTGAAAGGGATGAGAGACAAGGAAATAACTCTAGGGGAGCCCAAGATTTGCACATCCGAGAAACAGGCACAATAACGGAGCAAGGATGGACACTTCTTGCAACATTTGGATGTCAGTTGGGTAGCAATTGAAGACAAAGATTCCAGTTTCACTCCTACAGTGAAGAGTAAGTAGAGTAAGGCTTTCCAGCTGGGAAAAGAAACAACAGGCAGGCAAAGGGGTTTAAGAGCAAAACATGATTGAAATAAAAAAAGTGAACATGGAAGAACCATTTAGTGTCTCCTCCAGCACAGGAGCAGGGGTCAACTGAGGAATCCAGCAGATCAAAAATCAACCACCCTCCCCTGCCCCTCCCACAAACAGCACAATACAAGGAGAGAGTTGATTACACAGCACTTTTAGTTAAGTGGCGGGGCTCTCTACCACAAGACACCACGGGTGCTAAAAGTTGAGGTGGCTTCAAAGAACTACATAACAAATTCATGGAGTAACAGCCCTTGAAAGATCTTCTATGCAGAGGTACAGGGCCTGGCTCAGGACGTGCTCCTGCCACGGACGGTGGGAAAACATTCACAACGTGCATTGAGGAGCCTGGCACTGGGATGACAGTTTTGGTATACAGAAAACGGGGAAAAAAAAAATCAGACAGTGAAAAGTAGAATAGAACAAAGAATGTGGTCAGGGGCAGCCCTGTCTGAGGGAGAAGAGAGAAGTTGTCTCCAACACGAGTGCTAACAACCAAGAGCCTACACAAGGGTGAGCTTGTCACCCTCAAGTGGGAATGAGGATGATTAACAGATTTTTAATTTTTTTTTTAAATTACTTCACACTTTGAGCACCAACTCAGGAGTCAGTATTCACACTTTCCTGAAATGGACTTTCATTCTTATTTTATTTTTGTAACTGTGAACACCTACCTATCTTTACATGCTAGTCAGGTAAGACCTGGGCGATTGCCAAATTGGAGTGATAAGGTTTGGACAACACCCTTTTTCAACAAGCTTTTAGAATAAAGGTGCACTTCTTTGGCACTAACCTGCCATGAGGAGAAGTTACTCAATTAACTTACTGATGCACAGTCATTTCTAAAAGCACAGACACACTTTGTGCACAATAACGCTATCAGGAGAAGCGTTTCCATGCAGCAAGGCTGCCACTTGACCTCTCCTCCTCCTTAATTACACAGCAGCAGCAGAGGAAATTACCAACCCGCAAAGCTTTTAATAAAGGGATGGCAGCAAAGCACAAAAAGAGAGGCCTCGAAAATAGGCAGGTCACCTACCTACCATTGTGGCAGAGTACACCCGAAGCAGGTCAAGCACACATTCCTTGAACAGGAAAAGGACTGCATACCTGATAAAAGCCTTCACTTACACATCCATTTACCAGGCATCCTTGAAAGAGGTTAATGGCTCAAAAAGGTCCATAAATCAATTCACACACCCCAAGCACATGCCCCCTTGAAAAAAGGGCAAAACACAAAGCCGTTTTCAACATTGTACACTGTTTGCTTCAATGCCAAAACATTGGTGGTCTTCAGTTCAAAATGACACAAAAGGCCTCAGCAGAACAAATCGCTCCTCAACAGAACGACTTTCTTGTACAATGTGAATATGATAGGCAAGAGACAAAAATAACTTTCTGCTGCCTGCACAATTGAGCAAAATGGTCCTTTGTTCTTTGAATTATACCCTGACACAAGAGACTGTTTTTACTTTACATCAAAAGTGCTTAAGTAGTCAACTCGCCATGGAATATGTTCCCTGCAGGCAAACCTTCGAGTTCCTGTTTGAAGGAGGTCAGTTAACCCTTCTGTCAACTAATAAGGCCCTCAGTATAATGATGAATTGTCCAAATTCCTTTGCACAGAAAGAGGCTAAATGGCATGTGTTTTTTGTCAAAGATCCTGAGATCTGATCAAGTTACATGAATACTTGCTGCTGGCAAATCAGATCACTATATTTACTTGCGGATTTAAAAAGCTTAAAGTGAGAGGAAAAAAAACCAAAAAACCATGTTGGTAATTCTACTCCTGAATACCTGCATGTTCAGGAAAGGCAGATGACATGGCTTTAGTAGCATTTACATGGTAATGTGGATTCCAAAATCTCTGGAGCCAGAAAATGCTGGGGAAGGGGAGAGGAGAATTTAAGTACTAACTCGTTTGCAAAGTGAAAACCCCAACTCCATCGCTGGCTATTGGGAGATGATAAGGAGCAAAGAAGTAATTTATTCTAAATATAGCACGGCAGTTGGAAGAATCATCACATTTCTAGAATTCTACAAAACTTCCAAACTGAGCTTTGTGGGACCCACGAGAAAACTGTACAAGGCAGCTAGAAACGTTACTGTGGGTTACTTATTTGGTTTAGGGTTCTCTATCAAGCCCAGAAGCAAGCAATGCTGGCTCTGCATTACTTCAGGAATGCGAATCCAACATATATAAAATGGCTTTCAAAAGGGCTGGTTTCACACTTGCCCTTTCTTTTCTTCATGATCTTCCAAAGTCATTAACCGTGCACAAGACCACACCAGCTTTCAAACCAAAAGGCAAAACTAAAGATAATTTTATGTCTATTTTTAAGTAAAATCACACAGTCTCAAGGAAAATAAGAAAAAGCCTCCGTCAGAACTGGAATAAGAAGATTCCAGTAGATTTTATTTTCTTTCCATTTTGAAAATTTGGGGGGCATTTCTACGTGTTGGTGGTACGGCCTCTCTAGCTACAGCCCTTGGTCAACTCCTTACTGTGGCACTGACTGAAACCTTTTTTAAATTGTCACAAAAGCATCACTGCTCCTCTTACAGCTCACATCTTGTGAGCAAACCTTTCATCTCACAACTGACATGTGCATGCCAGCGTTTGGTTACATGCGATCTTCTTTTTCAGAGCCTAGATGACCTTAGCCAAGTGCTTCAGCCACAGTTGAAATCATCTCTGTTCCTTGCTAGAGTCAGTCTCTGAGCGCTTCTACAAGATGCTGGGTCTCAATTTCCAGACACCACATTAATAACTAAATTTGGCCAGCCAGAAACCCACAGAAACCCTCCAAGGCCATGTGGAGCAGGACCTCCACCATCTCCAGTGCCTTTAGTGGAGGAGTCCTGCATCCTGTGCCCTGGCCACCACCAACTGGCTATTGCACAACCTGGCACAGAGCACATCCAAGGCCCTTGCAGAGTGCATCTTCCCTTGACAGCATGGTGGGGATCAAACCCTCAACTGACTTCAGCTGCGGTGACTTCTCAAGAAGAGGTAAGCAAGCCCAGGAGAAGACCATTAAAGCCTTCTAGGTAGTGAGGAGCACCTTCAACACTGTGGGCCACCAGGCAAATAGCTCAGTGTACAGGTTTCACCTCTTTGCCTCATGCAACACCTGCTTACCAAGCATCCGCTGGCTTCAGTCTCTGTGGGATTTCAGGGCACAACTTTGTCCTAAAGGGACAAAAAGGAAACTTTGTCCTAAAGGGACAAAAGCACAGCGACAGTGGCGGGATCCACGTGAAAGGAAAGGAGGACCTCCTAGCTGGTGCGGACTGGAAAAGGCTAGCACAGGATTGGCAAATACCTCATGGAAGAATAACTGTGTGCCAAGTTACACATCCATCATTCATGACAGTCGGTGCACATCCAACAAAAGGATTACGTGACATTTGATTATCACCACCAATGAACTGTGATGTGAAAACAGGAGATGCCTTGATTCTCATCACCTGCTAGAAACAAAGTGAACCCTGTGCCAGAATGATCCAGCACGTCATGCCCAGCATCTTTTTTGGCCAAAGTACCCCAGCATCACATCTAGCCACAGTGGAGTTCTTGCTCCTCTACCACCTCCTTCATTAATGTCCAACTACTCCTATGGCCACCATGTGAGCCAGCTCCTATGCAGTCCTGTGCTAATGATGCCCTTTGCTACAGCAGTTTTGCTTCTGATGTACTCAAACAGGCTAACGCAAACACAATCTTCAAAGTATAGCTTGGCTCTGGAGATTTCGGCTCTAACCAGCCCACTCAAGTCTGATGTAACACTTCAGTAGCTATACCACATCTAGTTTTAGCATATGCCTGGTTAATCTAATTTTCCCTAAGAAGAACAAGAAACACGCAGGCACATCTAGGGGTGCACAAGTGTCTCAGATATTATCCAGTAGCTAGTGATGGCTTTATACGGGAAAGACGTAAAGTCCTGTAAGCTCTTTTTAAATGCCTTACCTGTGCTTACGTGACTAGAAATCGGGAAAAGTGGTTCATTTTGCACTGTAAAACCACACAGATGGTGAGTTTACTGTGAGATGTTTAGATGCCTAAACCAGTTTGGGTTGGAAATGGCCTTCAAGACAAATGGTTGATTATTCTCCCTTCATACAGAGGGGTGGACCAAGGCCGGGGTGAAGGGCTGCAAGTTAACACAGACTGGGCTGCTTGCTTTGAAGATCAGTTAGGCAGGGATCAAATCTGTCCTCGGGTAAGCAGAGCAGGACACTGCCATGGAAAATATGGTGGAGGAAAAGAAGTTTTTTTAAATCATTGGTCAAAGATCTGAGGGTTTTCAAAGGAGCATTTACTAAGTTAAACAATAGGTTTCTGTTTCGAAATGTCATTTTGGAACTGGGTGTATTGTTTTCTTTAATTGAGTGTTTAACTCAATCAGACATTCTTCTGTGGCATACTCCGACTTAAGTGAAATCACATTTTTGACAAATTTTCTAGCCAAATTCTTCAGTCAGGATCTGCTGATTAGCAACTTATGAGTAGGAAAGATTGTAGCTGCATCTATTCACAAATGCATGCGCACATACGTGCATGCACACACAAAGTATCCACGGGTAATTTTTTTGCTACCTTGATCAATGCATTTCTTTTAGTAGCTTTTTTTACTGATCTTAAAGATAAAAGTAACACTCATACATGTTTATTGAACGTAGACTTGTAGAAACCTATGGGGAGAAATCCCAACAAAGTAAATGACTGGCTCCAGTGCTTTGCTTCAAGCTCACAAGGATCTTTCAGTTACTCTGACGGCTCTGCTACCTTTCCCACTGATTTTAAATATTTAGAACTCACTTCCATTTAAACTACTGTAATTTAATATATGGCATATTTGCATATCACTTAATTTAAACTAAGGTGTGTCAGAGCAGTTGATACTACAGCCGAGATGATATAACGGATACTGAAAGGGCTGTATGAAGATTGGGCTCGGGGTTTAATGCCTTATTGCAGGATGCTAGGAACAAGCAAGTGTCACACATCATCCTACACAGGACAGAAATAATTTTTGCAGAAATATTTTCTTTACTGCTTGAGATTGGGGACAGAGAGCATCAAATGTTTAACTCATCTGCAGCAAAAAAACAAAGGGTTTGTTCCAACATGATTTCCTGGCATCATTTCCCAGTGCTAGTGAGGCACTATGATGATAAAACCATTCAGCAATTTGTAAAGTTGAAAGTTTTGCAGAGCCAGCAAATTTCTTCTGAATAATCAGCTATTGATTCAAATTACCCTGTAAGCATACTGCTAACTCCTCAGCGTTACGATTTTCAGTACGAGTGTTAAGATAAGATCTCAGCCTAGAATCACTAGAGTTGTGCTGCATTTTAACATGCTAGCAGACCTTGCCAAAAGGGCAATTTTCTGGAAACAATCAATACACATTACAATATTTGAAGAGCACAGGACAATTGAAATTATGAAACTTGAAGTGAAAATTATATTTGCTTTAGTGTAGAATTTGTCTGACTTCCTTTAGACACTTATCACAGAAGGAAAAGAAACATCTGCTAATCTTTCTCTCCACACCATAAACACCTCCTATAAAAGCAGCTTACATGACTAGTTTAAGACCCAGGTGTTAAATTAAGACTAGGAAGCCTATCCTTAAATGCCAATAGGGTAATTTTCAGTAAGCAGATGTTTCAGCACCAGGTACATGACAAAGACTAAAAACTGAGAAAAACAACTTTCTGCCAATGTCTGCAATGAGTATTTGATAAAAACATGACTTTTTTCACCTTAGTTCAATTAAATTCTGTTTTTTACAATAGGGTTTGATACTCAAGTCCAACACAGAAAAATACTGACACACGTATGCTTCTTGTAAAGGGGAGATAGCAATACAACCTAACTTTCAATCTCGTACAGTACCTTTTACTAACTGCACTCTGTTCTGTTTGTTCAATTTATTAAAATTTATTAAAACATGATAGTAATGGTCATCTCCTTTATATTATATGAAACACATAAACTTCAAATATCTCCTGTGCAAGGGCATTGTTTGAGCTGCATCTGCAGCCACACCGTACCTCAGAGGCTTCCTGGGAGCCTGGAGCCTCCTGCCAGTAATGTGATTTGCGGGCTGCAGTCGGAGCAGAGCTCAGCGTGCTGAGTCCTGCACTTTGGTTGCCAGGCTTTGGAAAAGCTCCAGCAGAATGCCTGGCAGACTCGAGTTAGACGAAATTTGTAATCCTATTATTTACTACCTTAGAAAGGATTTTTATGCACACGCACATGTTCACGTGCAGGCTCGTGCAGAGCTGCATATAGCTCATAGCTGGAGCAATGGCCAGAAGAGTCCTGCAAAGGGGCTGGCACTGCCCCCCGAGCAGACGACGCTCACTGCACAGCTCCTGCTCACTGTAATCCCCATTGGGACCTGCACGAGGCCAAGAGAGACGCGCTGGCCTTTTCCCTATCCTCTATGCCTCTCCTGTGCTTGTTGCAGCCATTACATTAAATTAAATGAGTACCTGTTGTGCTTTTTTAAAGCATGGGGTAAGCAGTCCTACAAACTCTCTGCAGTGTGTAATCCCCAATGGATATCCGTGGGTGGTGGAAGCGTACCCAGTATCGAGGGGTCGAGATGCTGCCCAGACATAGGCACCCACCTTAGCTTGCTCCAGTGGTCTGGTCCCAGTGTGATTTCTGGGGACGTGCAGAGAGGAGACATCGGATGACGCTTTCTCTCTACCACTGGGAGCACAGACTGCAAATCAAAGCACCCAGACCAGGTGCAAAAACCTGCCTCTCCCAGCTTCTGCTTTACCATCTCCGATCTTAACAAGATTTCTAGAAAACAGATCACAGGCAGCAGCCGGCAATGGTCACTGCCACTGATGGGGATGACAAGGAAGTGTGCCCTGGAGTCTGGTTTCCAGCGGAGTGTGCCGGGACCCCAGGGCCACATCCACAGCTTGGTGCTGCTGCGAGCACCTGGGAACCTGTGGGGGGCTGTGGCCTCCAGCCTGTCCTAGATGGGTCATTTTGTACACCTCCACATAGCTGTGTCCAGAGGTTATTTGCAGGCACTTGTGTTCATATGACCTCACTTTTATTTTTTTTTTTTTTTTTTAACTAATTAAAAAATTTGTAAAGGTGTCACAGCAATGTGGGCAGTACCGTCCCCATTTCTCAGCAGGGGCTCGTGTCTATTGGTGCCAACAGCCTGAAGACCTCTGGTAAGAGATCCCACATTACTGTCCTTTGAGTGATGCACCCTGCGATTTCCAACCTTGAGCAGAAGCCACTTGCCCCAGCCGGTGGGGGATCCCACCCTGGAGCCATCAGGACTGATGTCCACACCTCCGCATCCACTCGGTGCCCACAGCGAAGACTGCCCATCCATACTCACACGGTTCAGAGCTCTCTCGCCATTCCCCATCTAGATAGGTTTGTATTTTCTTCCTGAACGCGGCACAAAATGTGGCCATTTTGGCTGCTTGGGCCAGCATGAGCATGCCACCGAGGGCAGGTGGCAATCGCCATGGCCAGGAGTCCATGTGTCCTCCTGCAGCTGGAGCCAACGTCTTTGTGACGAATCCCCATCTCAGTTCCAGCTTCACCTTGGCCACAGGCCATATTTCAGTTACTTTCCAGGGGCACTGCTCTGTAACTCCTTAAATGGCACAGTTTTCCAGTTTGCCTGCAAACCGCCTACCACTGAGAGCTGCTACCTGCCCATGCAGCGGCTGCACATCTGCCAGCCTGAACATCACCCCTCCGCTCGCCGGGACTAAATGAGAGCTGAGAAGTCGCTTCCTTCTCTGCTGAGGAAGGACGGGAGACAGGGCAGGAGGCACTGACACCATCACGCTGGGGAGATCTGGCAGCACCACAGGGCTGGATGTGCTCCACGAGCGAGTGCGTGCTTGGAGCCCATCTGGGGCATCGTGCCGAAGGCTGCTGTGGTTCAGCCCCAGGCACCAGCTCTCCCGGCCTGCCACAGAGACTTCCTTGGATGCAGTCCTGAAGGAACACCTGCATTTCCACCTGAGTGAGCCTCCCATGTCACTTGGGGGCAAGAAGGGGTGGCGGGTTGGAAGGAGAGCATAGAGCTTGCATGGTAAAAACAGGCTTTGAAGGATATATCCTCTCTTTACTTCAGAAATGTTAGTAAGTAGGTTTTCACATGCTGAAAAGGCAGCAGAAACTCCATGAGAGGCCAGAAATGCTGGTACGTGGTAAAATCCTACTGATAAGGTATATACTGATGGGACTCCACCAATAAACCCTGATGGAGACAGCTGATACCAAGAGACAATCCCTGCCCCGGAGCCGGCAGGGTCAGCGCCCCTCACCACGCCAGAACACACACAGCCTCCGCGAGAAACCCAATATGTACTCAGGAACTGGGACAATTCCCCGGTCCTTTCATCTGCTGCATTAACCAAGTAGCTGTGACCTGCCTATCTGGTTAGATAATGGGCTCTAAGGTATCTCTATTGTAAGAGATTTATTAAATACCACAGCAAGCACATTCCTCCCTGCAGGAAAAAAATACCTTAATCTACTGCAAACCCTCCTGGCAAAGGCTCCTATTTGAACAGATCAGAGATACAAGTTTGTTCTGGTCTGGACAGTGTTTGAAGTTTCTTTTCCAGCTAATGAACAGACTTGTTTATAGTGAAAAGACCCAGAGCATCATTTTCTAAACAAGCAACTTTATGGCGCTCTGTTTTGCAGCATGTAGCTATGGCTAACCTGCTGCATGGTCTCTGCTGGCTCCTTTGTTTTCATCTGAAATATAAAGAAAGTCTTCTACTAAATCAAAACCCCTACTTCTTCAGCCCCTGCTTCCCTAACGAGGCAGAAGAGCAGAGAGGGGTCTTCCACTACATACAAACAAGGGGCAAAGGAAACTTGTTTCCAGACAAATTCTCAAACCCGAACACTTGCGATACGTTTTCTTACCACACTGGCTTACCTGGCAGCATTGCAACCTAACGGTTAAAGAAGAGTTGCTTTCTACACAGAGATGATTGTTTCTGAATAAGGGTCCAGACGAGAAATAAGATAAACCAGGCAAGTGTTGGGCCAAGCTCCTGCTGCGCCTCCCATCCCTGGAAGCACCAAAACCCCAGGGACAGCCCCTGCCATGCCTTCCTCCCTCATTTCCAAGGCTCGTGTGGGCACTGGCGGGGTCACCGGAGGGGCTGCTCCCAGCAGGGGTGTCCCAGTGCACCGGGGGTGAACGTGTGCCTGGCCACCGGGTCATCTCCAAAAGGAGCTGGCGGGGCGGGCGCCAGGCTGGGACTCACCTCGGCACTCCACGCTTGGGTCGCCCCAGAAGAGCTCCTGGCACTCCCGGCAGGTCCGGCCTCCAAAGCCCCGCATGCACTGGCACTGCCCTGTGAACTGCCAAAAAATAACAAGAGACATGACCATCTCAGCGGCTCACCCCCGCGCTGGAGCAAAGCCCGAGCCGCCGCAGCGTGCCCTGCGCTCCCCTCACCTCGTTGCAGGCGGGCCCGAGGGAGCGTGTGGGGTCGCAGCCGCACTGCTCGCAGCCGGCGCCGCTGGCGAGCCTCCACGTGTGGGGGGCACAGCGGTCGCAGGTCTGCTTGATGTCAGCCTGCCTTTCTGTTACTAAACCGCCCAGAGTTTGCATTTAATTTATCCTCCGAGTCCCCAGAGGTGCGGGCAGACGCTGGCACGTCCCCACGCCTGCGGCCAGGCTTGGCTGACCCAATGCTGAATGCAACCCAGCACCACTCAAGAGCCCTGCTCACGTCCCAGGCTGGCCACCTCTACGGCTCCTGCCCCAGCACACAGGAGGCGACAGGACCCCCTGTGCAAGCAGCCCAGCCTTCCTCTTCTCCTTTCCTCCCTCTGTACACAACCAAAGGCCAAGGCTGCCCAGCTCCTGTCAGCCAGCTGTGGTAGCAAATCTGCTTGCCACAGGGCTCTGCTCACCCACCCAGTGACCCATCCGCCCTGCCAGGCTGTGTCCAGCGCTGAGGGAGAGGAGGGTCTGCCTGCCCACCGCCCGGTTCAGCTCTCTGGTGTGGCCCTTGCTCCCCGGGCAGGACTCGCTCCTGCTGTCCAGCCACATCTGCAGGGACGCTGGTGCAAACAAAAGCCAAACCCATACCCTGCCACAGCCCATCTCCAGAAAAGAGGGAAACAAAGATTGCTAACAAGAGGGCAAGAAACCCACCTCCAACAAAAGCCTCGTCCTTTTTCAGCACATGTAAATGCTGTCCCTACTCTCCCTGTCCAATGTAAAGGACCGCCCCCCTGGCCAGGAGCCCTGCTGAGCTGCAGGGCAGCTGCACGAAACTCCAGCTGGAGGTAATTAGGTTTCCCCTCCACCCCAAATGCACCCAGGTTAAAAAGTGCTCGGGCAGCCACTGCCGTCCCCATGACATGGCCGGCTGAAGGGACATTGCTGCGTCTCCCCACTCACTTCTGCAGTCCTGCTGCAGGGCGCTCCCGTAGTAGCCCTGTTTGCAGAGGTGGCAGTTTTCCCCCTCCGTGTGATACAGGCACTTCATGCACGTTCCTGTCTTCTTGTCGCAGGCCTCCGGGTCAGTGGTGTCGATGTTGTTGTTGCACTGGCACGGCTGGCAGGCGCCGCCAACCTCGTCGGGGCTCCCAAAGAAGCCAGACGCACATTCATCACATCGACTGCCTGTTTGAACAAACAGGCACAGTGGGAATTACCATCACGGCTTGCTAGTGCGCAGGCCCCTAAATGGCAAGACTGAGGCAAGACATTAAAGGCCATTAATTGGATCATGCTCAAAGCAACAGCGGCAGCGCTTGCTGAGACTGCAGCAGCTTGGCGCAGCATGGATGGTACCGCCTGGGCCACCAAGGCATGGTGCTGCAGCACAGCCGCCGGCACGCTCGTCCCCTCGGCTCCACTGCTGTCCTGTCTACCTCTGCCAACCACCAGTCATCCCTTGCCACGCTGCTGGGGATGAGCTGCACAGTGGTGCACAAGTTGCTCTGCTCTGGCATCTTCCAAGCACTGCCAACCTCCAGCAGCAACACATGGACACTGGTGCTGTGGTCACATCCAACAACCCATATGAACGTACACCTTCCCACCGGGAGGTCCAGCCCAACCAGCCCCCTCCACGCACCCACCAAGTACCTATGTATCCCACACTACAGACACACACGACTTGCAGTGTGACTGGATCCTGGTAACAGCCGCTGGCAAACTGGCGTCCGCTCTCGGGGCCATCAGGGCAAGGGCAGGGGCGGCAGTGGTCGCCTGATCCCAGGACGGGGTCTCCGTAGTAGCCAGGCTGGCACCTGCGCAGTGGGGTACATGGCATGCAGGGGACCGCAGGCAAACAGACTGCAGCCTTGTGGCAATTACACTCACGTTTTCAACCACCGTGAAGAACCACAGGGCAGAAACATCCTTACGGCTCTTCTGTGCCACTCATGCTCTGAGCAGCCACAGAGGCAAATTTGTCTGGCTTAGAGCAGCATAACAGCAGGGGACCCAAGGCTGATGCCTCTCAAGAGGCTTTCAATGGAAAAAGCCTCTCTGAAGCTCCGGCTCCTGCAACGTGCCCTCTGGCATCTGGGCAGGCACTGTCGGGAGGCGTGAGGCCACGGGCAGGGAAGATGGGGTCCCTGCTCCCATCCTCCTCTGGCACCACCAGCACTGCTCTGCTTCCCAGGGTGCCGGCACTTTCCCCGCAAATTCACACCCACCTGAGCACCACCACTGGAGGGGAATGGCTGCTGCGCCCATCCTGCAGGGGGGAAGGAGAGGGGCCAGGGATGGGGTGCACGTGCCGTACCTCTCGCAGTTGTGCCCCGCTGTGTGGTCCCGGCAGCTCAGGCACTCCCCGGTGTAGGGGCTGCAGTCATCGGCATGGCCATTGCAGTGGCAGGGCTGGCAGCTGGGGAAGCCCCAAAAGCCAGGCAGGCAGCGGTCGCACTGCCGCCCGTACACCCCGGGGAAGCAGTGGCACTGGCCCATCTCTGCGTCGCAGAAGGCGTTGTAAGAGCCTCGGACGTGGCATTCGCATGCTGCAAGGAGAGGGAGAGAGGGGCTGCGTTTCCATGGCAAGCCCTAAACGCACGGCCCCGACCGCAGCACAGCCTAGAGCCAAGGGTTTAACATACCTCGGCATCCGTTCGGCCCGAACCCAAAGGTGCCAGGGGCACATCTGTCGCATTGTCTTCCGACGACATTGGGACGACACTGGCACTGTCCTCCGCTGGGGTCGCACACCGAACTCAGGGAGCCCTGGGGGTCGCACTGGCATGCTGAGCAGAGAAAAGCATTGGGGGGAGTGAGTACCACAGCGCAGGACAAGAACTACCTGCCTCACCCCATGCACACGCCTTCCCTCTGCAAACCGCTCTGCCTGCAAGCGCCACCCAGCTTCCAGGCACAGTTTGCCCTACAAGTAGGTGGTTACGTACATAACGCAGTCTCGTGTAACAGAGCAGAAATGCTGAATATGATGTTCTTGCAGACGTCCGTCATGGGGGTTTTCACAACACTCCTGCTGTTTTCCAGACACCGGTATCTTTGGAAAGTTTCCCAAGCGCTGTTTGTGACCACGTCTTCACCTGAGCCTCCCACTGTGAATATGTCCAGCGATTTGCAGTATGGCATGAGAACAAGCTACAAAACAATTTTACAGTGACAAAGTGTCACTATTTATAAACAGCCTCCAATAAAATTGTGAAAATTCACTATTATCCCACTTATCATCCTTTTTTTGGCCAAAAAGCAAACAGCCACTGGGAAGGGAAATGACAGTATTTCTGTTGGTTTTGGTGGAATAGTTCTGGTATCTACCAAATTCTTACCAAATCTACCAAATTCTATCCATTCAAAAGAAAAAGGTTGACATTCATGACATATATGGCATTCATTAGCCTTCCCAAAGAAACTACAAGTCTGTGGAACTAGCTGCAGTCCTGTAAAATACAACAAAAACAACCCACATACTTTGAGACTGAAGAAACCTACAGTGTTTTACATTGTTCAGTTAAAATCTGGTTTCAGCCATAAGCAACAACGTTGTAAAATATTACTTCGGATTTACACAGACGCATCCTAGAGGAGATGCAAACTTTCAGGCTTTTAAATATATTTTTCCACCAGAGCATCCCCAAAATAATTTCTGCTCACAGAGTCAATGAGCGTGTACGGGCTCTCCGTTTCCGTATCCACCGAGGAGTACTGGGACAGCTCCAGGCGGATGGTGTAATTCAGCCCCTTCTCGAAGCAGACGGGCCGCGGGAGAACGACGTATCTGGATTAGGAAGAGGAAACAGTTCTTACTTCAAACGTCCAGCACCATAAAGCGTTTCAGGTGGCCCTATAAAGCAATCGAGATAACGGAAAGCAGCCAAGACCGGGCAGAACAAAGCTACGATGTGAAAGGGGTGGTTTGGAGGCTTGTGCAAGTCAGAACCGGGAAAGCTTATCGGCAAGGTAAAGAGTCGTACCGATGTTCATGCACGGTCTGTGCAAACACTTCCCCCCCTCTTTGCTCAGTGAACAAAACAAATCAGACAACGAGAATGAACGTAAAAGCTTTGAGTCTACAGACACAATGCTAAATATGTTTTTATAACACACTGGAAATTAAATTTCATTCATTTTCATAGAGGCCATGGCAAACTGAAAACATGCCATTACTCTGTTTCAATTTTTTAAGTGTTTTTTCTCCCTTTAGCCCATCCAGTTATACTGACCTGGAGCCGGGTGACAGTGAGACGACCTGATTATCATCATCAGGAACTGTATTGCCACACCGGCTACCCGTGGGAATCTTGCCTGGGCGTGAGACGCTGATCACGGCTTTTTCCCACTGATCTGGCAACTGGGGGGAAAAAAGGCTGATCAGAATCAAGCAACGGCCGTAAGCTCCTGGGAGCATCCAGAGCTCAGGCCAGGAAAAGCATGCGCAGAGTGGTCACTGTGCTTTGGGGAGGATGGGGCTGCAGCTCCAGCATCAATGCGGCATCTACTGGCTGCAGGTTTGGGCTGAGAAAAGACAAGGCAAGTGCCCCTGGGCATCATCCAGCATGACAGCCTCTCTCCCTCCCTCCCAAAAAGCCATGACCAGGGGTAGGTGGTCAGCAATCCTCTCTGCGGCACAGCATTAACACGGGGTTTGGTGACCTCCTCTCCCCCTACCTCTGGGTACTGTGCTGCCAAGCTCTAGGTAAGGAGCCTGGAGGATTTTTCTCTTGCCCTTCACCCTGTGAGTTATCCACAGTCAAAACCGACTGCTTGCAAACTCTTGGCTGCAGGCATTCAACATCCAAGATGGGCAATTTGTCTCCTAAGGTGCATAACAGCATTTCCACCCATTAGAAGGCCATGTGGCTGATGCCAAATTTATATTCCAATTTGTCTTGACAGGACTTGTCACTTTTTAATTTGCTCATTAAACACATGCTGAAACAATGCAATAATGAACAAAACTGTAAAGCAAATACTGGTAATAGTCAACATCTTCTTGGATTTTCACACATCTCAGACATTTAATTGTGCGTCCATCCTTGTCTTGGAGTCCTGATGACTCCTGGAAGCACCGGGCTCCTGTCAGTCGTGCACCAGGCTCCTGTCAGTCGTGCACCGGGACAGCCAGTGCCTGCCAGGAGGCAGCAATGCCCATACTCAGACCTACCTGCGGCTCGTAGCGGACCAGAATATCGTACTCCATGGAGTAGGGGATGTTGTCAATGTAGAATTCCAGGTACGCCCCCTCAGGGACCCTTACAAATCCTATGCCTGTCCACGATGGTGTGCGGTCCGGTGTGTACTGGCGCTCTATTATGCTTACTCCCTACAAAAACAGGGAACAGAGATTTTAATACCAATACATTAAATTTGTGAGCCCCATGGGAGTGCGTGAAGTGATGAGTTCTGCTGATGGATCACTTCTGGATCGCAGCATCCATCATTTGCAGACCAGAGAACACAAATTCTCATTTAAACCCATGTGCGTGCACACCGTTGCCCTTCTGCTTAAAAATATACGAAAAGCAAGAAAGATAAAACAACACTGCACAACTCTTCACCCATTTCTCTGTTATAGTGGGGAATTAAATTTAAAAACTTGCTGTGAGTAACTAACCCACCAGCTACAATATCTTGGTCACTGGAAGGACTTTCACATCAGCCTTGTAGCAGTAGGATTTACTGCGGTGGCACATAACTGCTCTATTAACCGCCCAAGCTGAGTGCTAATTACTTCCTGACTACACTGGGCTGCTCCAACCGAAACCACTGCGCAGGGTAACATTTGAAAAGCAGATCACAGCCATCCTGAGTAGGGTGTCACTAAATAACAGAGATCCTCACCATCGATAAATATTTAATAGCCAAATCAATACGTGGTCACTCCTTTCAGTCTGAGGTGCCAAGTTTTTATCTGCTACTCTTTATATAAAGCAAAGAGGAAAAAGGCAACAGAAAATGGAAACGTGTGGTGTTCAAACTTCCCGTTTCAAATATATCTGCATCCACGAATAGTTCTCTCCATAGAGCAACATCCTGTGCGTTCCTAAGGAAGCTGCTTCAGTAGAAAGGGATAAAATGTAAGGAAATGTCTCTCTATATACATATCACTTCAGCATGTCCCCTCGTGTATTCTCACACACTTTGAAGAGAGCCTAGCTATAAGTTATTACCCTTTGGCTTTGCACAAATGGTCGGAGCTCCCCAGGAACGATGGCAGATGGGACGTGAGCGAGGGTGTGCAGCTATGGGGAGCATGGGGGCTTGGCATTGCCTGAAAATCCCTGCAACTCTGTGCCACTTCATTTTGCCTTGTGCTGGGCCCCTACCTGGGAATTGAGAGTTTTATTCTGCCACCAGACTTGTGAGAAACCTTTTCGATATTGGCTTTTTATGCCCTCTGCTGTGGTCCAACTTCTGCTCTGCAGTGTCTTCCATCTCTGCAGTTATCTCAGAGCAAAAATCCTCTGCCTTGGCTGAAATTGCAAAGTGGCTGCATTTTGCCTGAAATAAATAAACTAGGGCCAAGTGCCCCAATTGCAGGCAGACAAGGATCTGCTGCTTTAGAGAAACCATTATCTCATCTCCCTGGCTCCTTGCTAGAGGCAAAAATAATTGATGTAATCACCTAGCTGCTGTTAATGAATTAAAAGCCAGGCTGCGCAGTGGTGAATGGAAAGGGCCAGAGACCCTGATGTACCACGCCAGCGGGCAAAACAAGCTAGAGGCAACATCACTTACAAAACCAGTTTTTTGCACAATCAACTATGGTTTTAGTCATTAATAAAAGAAATGCTACTGATATACAGAAACTCTAAAAGCTGCAGTAATGTGCTTAAATGCGTGCTTTGTTCCCTCCCGGTTTCAGTGGCACCAAAGAGAAGAGCCAGTGTCGGCGTCCCACTACTCTTGAGATAAGAGGGGAAGGAGAAGTGGGTGCGGTGGGCGCGTACGCAGTGGGGTGCAGAGAGGGATGCTGACAGGAAACAAACTGTACAGTCAGAATCAAAGAAACAGGTTTAAAAAGAAAAATGGCAGCTTCCCCCCCCAAATCACTACATTATTTATCGATACTAAGATTGAAGAGCTACAGGTTGACGGTTTTCTGATACAATTCAGTTTTGTGTTTTCCACATTTTAATTGCAAAACACTCAGGGTATAGAACAGATGCTTCCAACACCCAAATGGTGAAACAACTTTCCCACAGCTGCCCAGACACACCAGCCCACTAAATCTGCTACTCACAGGACCCAAGTTGGCTTCCTCCGCCTCGTAGATGTAATGATCAAGTGAAATGAAGTAATAGCCAGGCTCCACCTGGTTGCATTGACGTCCAAACATGTGGGGCCGGCATTCGCATTGGCCAGATTCACTCGAGCAGCTAAAATGGAAGAGCAATGAATTTATAACACATCTTGGCTACGCCGAGACAGTGCTAGAGCTATCTCCCGCTTTGACATTTTAAGTGACACAGGAGGAGAAGCAGTTCTGGACACAGCTGCGTCTAGATACGAAATGTTCCCAGGCTCTGCAGCTGGACCATCGGCACCGCTACAATGGCAGCACGAGCACAGTCCCGGGCGCAGTCTTGGCTCAACCCAACTCTCATTCTCCCAAACAACTCCTAGGCTCAGGCTGGGAGCAAGCACGGGCCAGGGACCATTTCCAGTAGGCACTTTGCATGTGGTTTCCTCTGTTTGGATGGCTAGAGGATTTCGTGCTACGGATGCAGACGGTTCCCCAGGGCCAGACAGCAGTCCTGGGGGAGCTTCACTTGCTAGCACAGACGTAGCCAAGAGGCATGTCTGTCCTGCAAGCCGAGGGCAGCCTTCGGCTACAGGCTTGCACACCACGCAAGCAGGGTATCTGTTTGTGTGGGCCCAGGCAAAGCAAGAACATGCATGACCCTGCATGCCCCAGGACGTCAAGCTGCTCTCGTGTGCTGCAAAGCACATCCCAAGAGGTCACCCACCAGCAGCTAGGCACAGGGGAAAACCATACCCGGCTGCTTTAAAGGACAGAGCAAAGGACATGGGACAGACAGAGCCATCGCTGGGGAATGCAGAAGGTCTGTCCAGGGTGACATACAGCAGCTCCGCTTCCTTCATAACGAGCCATTTTCTTTTCGCAGTACAGCTCTGTCCCCAAACCGCCTTTTGGTGGTTTTATTGTCCCCAGAGAGTCCGCCCCTCATTATGAAGAACCCTTGGGCAGGTTGTATTTTTGCATGTGCCCAGTCACACTTTTTCATAGGAAGGTTTTTTGGTCCTCCAAAAGACGCCCTTTTCTTTAAATTCAAGTTGAATTTAGAAACATTTTCTAAAGTCAAACCCCTCTGGTTTCCACGGAGAATCTCCAGCCTTTTCAGGCCCACATTCTAAGAGCAATTTTTAAATTAAACAACTTCTGAAACTGCAGAGATTCACTTAAAACGCTCACTTCAAGATGCCAGACGTGCTCTAGCTGCCCCAGAAGGGGAGCTGGGAAGTTTCCCCTCCAGGGACGGGAATGACTCCAGCACCTGGGTTACAGCGCAGGGATGAATTTCGGGCGAGATGCGGCTGCCCCAGGCGCTGCATCCCACACCCTGAACCGGAGCCAGGAGACAGCAATTCAGCAGCTGAGGAGAGGAGCCCCGGGGAGGGCGAAGCTCGCCTTTCCCGCTGATGTTAGAGAGCGAAGCTGGGAGCTGGAGCTAGGCTTTGTGGCTCTCCTGCGGCCAGAGGAAAGCGCAGCTGCTCGCTGCCTGTGCCAGGACACCGCACATCCCCTCCCCACGTGGTTTTGCAATCGCTGGGCTCAGTGCATGGGAAGTGGGCTGCAAAGCCTTGCTTGGCCGCGGCCGAGCCGTACCCCAAACCACTGGAAGCAGCTGTACCAGGGGAGCCATTATGAGCTGTGTGGCGTAACCGATCCGCACGCAGGGAGTGAGCATAGAGGACTAAATAATCATTAATGACCACGCCACTGCCTGCTAAGGGGTAATAATTCACCCGAGAGCAGAGGGGAGAGACGGCCCGTGGGACATTCCCACGGCAATCCCTGCCACAGATGCGGTGTCTGCAGGCTGCGACGACCTACAGGAGTCACACCGGGACCAGTCCCGAACTCCCCCGGTCTGGTCCTGCGGGCTCCAGTGGGAAACAGTTCATCCACCCCCTTGGAAAACTTCTGTGGCTTCAGACAGAAGCAGGATGTTTCAAAGGGTTTGTGGAGGGAAGGAAAAAATGACAGCGAAGGAACGCGCTGCTGTTGGAAAGCATGGGGTCGGAACTCTTCAAAACCTATGCCTTCCTCTGAAAAATCTCCACCTCCCCAATGGGCACTTCCAGGCCCACATCCCACCCCACGCAGCACCACTGGGGCAACACAGCAGTACTGTGCAGCTAGTGTGCTTCCCCCAGCGCTGGTGGACAGACAGACAGACAGACTGGCCAAAGGGCCATTTTGGGAGGAAACCAAGAGCCAGCCTGACTTCCCATGTCACTGCCTGATTCCTCCTTTGATCCTGTAACAGCAAAGCTTTGACACGGACCACACACCAGGTTATGGCCAAGGCAGAGCTCAACCTACGGCTGGCTCCTACCCTGGCTGACCAAAGGCAGAGCTACACTAAAAAAGTTTTATGTGTTCATCTGCACCAGTGGCACAAACAGAGGCTGCTCAGCACGGAAAAGACACGCATGCCTCTGTCACCCCTTGCTGCAATCCAGACCTGCCACTGTCTGCACACCAGAACAGAAACACAGTCCCAAACATCCCCCTCCAGAGCCCATTGAGCCCTGGATGTTGTGGTTGCAAATGAAGCGAAACTCGCTGGGGTGAATGATTACAGCAGAGTAACCGGGCTGAGACTCACTTGTTGTTCAATGCTCCTCCCTGGTCGCAGTCGCACGGCCGACATCCATCCATGTCGTTGCTCAGGCCCCAGTGCTCAGGCTGCAGGAGGAAACATCACCGGCACTGTAATCCAGTGCCGATTTAACCCCATCCACCCCAAAAGCACATTTTGAAAGACTCAGCATAAGCCACCCCAGACCGCCCCCCCAAACCATGAATCCTACTCCCCTGGTTGTGAGGGTAGACCCACAACCACCAACCACCAACACAACCTCCTCGCCTCCTCTCCTCCACCTTGTTGACCATCTGAGAGGCGCGAGAAAAAAACACATCTCTCTGCCTAGTTTTAAAAGCAAGATTCAGGAGGACCCCAGCTCAGAGACCTCACTCCTACTGCACCATTTACACCAGTTTGGGCTCCCGACCCACAAAGGGCTTGGAAAGTCACAGCCCAGTACATTACACCACAGTGGAGAGCAGCCCCCTTGCAGGGCTGCTACTCTGCAACTTGCTCGGCAGACAGACAGATTTGTTTAGCTTTTCCATGGAGTCCACTGTCAGATAAGAGTCAGTGTTTATACAAACACATCCAGTTGTCTGACAGTGTGTTTCTGTAACACTCCAGCATGCATAACACTATATGGAAATGTATGTGAACGAAATAATCCCTGCCTAAAATAACGGCCTGCATAGAAAGCAATTTTTTTGGTAATGTTGCTTCTCTGACCATTTTGTCTTCCACCCCAGCAAGGGCTCCAGCAGAACTGCCCCAGATCCCTCATTTTCAGAGAGCAACTGCAACAGGTATCCTAATGTCTCACGCCTTATGGTCCCAGGAATTAATTTCCAGATGCTCTTGCCTGCCTTGATGTGCCTCCCAGCTCCCCATAACAGTGTGCTTCACGGCTCCTGACACTCCGAGGGACCCGGTCCAGCCTGAACACCAGGCGCCTGCTCGCAGGCAGGCAGAGACGGCCACCAGCACCTTCCTCAGTGCTTTCTGCACACCAGCCTTCCTCACAGCAGCGTCTTCTCATTTATTTTACGGTAAGCTACTTACCAGGCACTGATTGCACTGCTTTCCTGTCACCAGGCGCTTACAATAGCAGTTTCCTGTCTCCGAATCACAAGGATTCCCGCCGGGATGGGTACCCAGAGGATTACATGCACAAGCTAGATTGGGAAATACAAATAGGCAGGTCAAAACACAGGACTGGAGTTATATTTTAGACAGTATCCAACTTAAATATTTACATTAAAGCTTCCCCTATATTCCCAGGACAGAGATTAATTGCACACTTTGCCCACCACCCATCCCAGTAAAACTTCCCTGGCTTAGAGACTTATAATTAAAAACAAGTAAGGAGGATTCTGCTCCTTCCACTGAATGCACAAGGAGGATCAGCTGGGGAACTGAGTTTTAAGGGCGGGTGGACTCCAAGCTACAGCAAACCTACAAGAATGTTTTTCCTTTAGCAAAAATATGAAACAAAGGGAAAAAAAACACCCCACAAACCAACTTCTCCCGGCTCTAGCAGCTCCTCAAAGACCTTTTGATCACACATAAAGGAACATATGTTTTTACTCACACTGACAACCCGCTGGGTCATCGGCACTCAGGCCATAGAAACCTTCTTTGCAGAGGTCACAACGCTCCCCTTCAACAAATAATTTACAACGGCATTGTCCGGCAATGAGGCCAGTGGAGAAATCGGTGTAGCGATCACAGATGCCACCATTTTGGGAGCCAGCTGGGTCACAGTTGCAAGCTAAGAAGAAACATCGCACGTGTTTTATTAACTGCTACAAAAGAAAAGGCGAAGTCTCGCACTGAATTATTTAAACTCAGCTGCTGTGTAGAGAGAGCGTATCATTCCTGCAAGTATTAGACATGACATGGATTGAACACGTAACAGATAAACTTCCAGATTCTCGAAGAGAAAACAAAACCCAGCCATGCTCGCTCAAGACCTCCAAGACAACCACCTTCCCTCAAGGATCTTTGTTTGGGAGCACAGCACTGGCCAAAAAAGGCCAGTAAATCCTAAATTCTCCAGGGAAAGCTCTGGAGGGCCACGGCCGGGATGCCACGGCCATTGCCACCCCAAGGAGCGGGGCTGCACTTACGCTCACAGACGTCAGGGTCCCGCAGATCTCTCTCTGGGTGCTGGAAGTAGAACGGCTTGCACTGCTCGCAGTTGCGTCCTACGGTGTTGTGCTGGCAGTCGTCGCACACTCCCCCGCTGGTATTCCCCGTCGTCATGTACACGGCCATGTCAAAGTGGCACTGGCTGGAGTGGCCATTGCAGTTGCACTCTGTGACAAAGACAGAAAGCAAAGTAAGAGTCTGGCCCCAGGGGAGATGCAAATTTGCAGAAAAGACACAACAAGGTCAACCAAAGAACATGCAGGACTTTATATATTGTCACAAGTTCCCAAGCAACAGCGTGTAACGCTCACACCAGACTCCAGATCTCCATTCTACTCAAACTCACTTTTGCATGCGTTACTATTGCGGCCTTCAGCGGGTCGCCAGGGTAAGTCATGGTAGAAATCCAAACACTGCTCACAGTTTAATCCTTTGGTATTATGTCTGCACATGCAGTGTCCATGGACCTGTCATTAAAAAAAGAAAAAAAAAAAAAAAAAAAAAGAAAAA